TCCTCTGAACAGGTAACCCTAAAATCTTTTAAGGACTAGATACAAATACTTTTGTCATGTCATCTATTTTTTAAGGCCTATCAAGTCTAATTTGTGTTTCCCGAATGCCCTTTTGTGTGAGTCCATCCCCTGGAGCCTAGTCAACTTACCTGGCATCACACCCTTAAAGAAAACTGACTCTCCCCCCTTGCAACTACTGATTTCCAACAGTTCCTCAGCTAGGGCTGGGGTTTCATGTCCACCTCCCTCCTACATGCTGGGATTTTGTTTGGCTTGTGCTTATGCAGGTCTTGTGCACACTGTCACAAGTGTTGTGGGTTCACGTGTGCAACTGCCTGTCATGTCCAAAAAACACAGTTTCTTTTTATTTATCCACAACTTCTTACCCTTAGGATCTTTCTGCCTCTTCTTCTGCAATGATCCCTGAACCTTGGAAGGCAGAGGTTTGCTATAGGCATCCCATTCATGGCTGAGCACTCTGCAATCTCTTATTCTCTGCATGTTAGCTAGTTTTGGGTTTCTGTGTTAATCGCCATCTGCTACAAGAAGCTTCTGTGGTGAGAGTTGAGAGATGTATTAATCTATAGGTATAACAAGTCATTAAGAGTCTTTTTGATACTATGCCCATTTAGCAGAATAATAACAGTATGTTCTCCCCTATGACCTGCGACCTGTCTAGCTATAGAGTCTTAGTCCTAATCATAGTGCAGGTTGTTCCAAGAGGATGTTGAAATCTCCAAGTATGACTGTAAATTTGCATATTTCTCCTTTCATTTCTGATAACTAACATTTGTTTTCCTATATTTTTCAGCTCTTGATTGGACCATGTCTTTTTAGTGAATCACCCCTTTTATCATTATGTAATGTTCTTCTCCATTCCTGATCATTTTCTTTGCTCTAAAGCCCATCTTATCTAATACTACTGAAGTACTCCTGCCCCCACCAACATGTTTCCCTCCCAACTTCATGTCTTCTTCTTGATAACCCACTAAATCCAATTAGTGATACCCATATGTGTATGGGTATGGGTCCATTCACTGAACATGGGAAGCCTCCCAGTAGCCACATCCTCAAAAACGAATGATTCTCTGTCCTCTAGCAGCTACACCCTGACAATAGCTCCTCAGCAAGGGGTGGGGTCTGGAGAGTACCTTGTCCATCTATGCAGGTATATTGACTGACTTGATCTTGTACAGTTCAACTATTCCCTGAGCCTTAAAGGCAGGTGAGATTGATAATCATATCCCATAACATAATGAAATTGAAACAAGATGAAATAAATAATTTAAGCAGATCTATAATAAGCAATGAGGTTGAAACAGCAATAAAGTCTCCAAATTAAAGAAAGCCCAGGACCAAATTAATTCAGTGCGGAATTCTACCAGAAAGTCAAAGTAATACTAATACTACTCAAACTATTCCAGTAATACTAATACTACTCAAACTATTCCATAACTGAGAAAATAAAGGAAGGCTTCCAAACACTTTTTTTACAAAGCTAGTGTTACAGTGAGACTGAAACCAAATAAAAGACATCACAAAAACATTACAAACTGATCTTACTGATGGATGTAGATGCTGGGTGAGGGACGGTTAATCTTCTTTAAGGGAGTGATAATAGATAGGCTGAACAGGTTCCAGTGGATGAACTCACACCAAGGGACATCTGGGTACAGAAACTTGACTAGACAGGCCTTAACATGTATGACAGAATGCATGAAATCCAGTGGGCAGGCTTTGGAGGGGTGCAGATAGGGGCGAGACTCTAAATATGATTAAGATGTATTGTTTGAAATCTACAAAAATTTGATTAAGATATACATTAAAAGTTCTCAATAGAATACTGGCAAAGTAAATTCAACATCACATCAAAAAGACCATTGTTGCAGGGATGGTTCAATATATCTGTGTCAATAAATGTGATTTAGCACATAAAGGGACTGCAAGACAAGTATCACATGATTTCCTCAATAGACACAGAAAAAGCCTTTGACAAAATCCCAAATCCTTTCCTGATACAAGTCATGGAGAGGCTAGAGACAGAGGGACCATACCTCAATATTAACAAGCCTATAAACAGCAAACAACAAACCTGTAGCTAACACCATGCTAAATGTAGAAAAAGCAGAGTTCCAACTAAGATCAGGAATGAGGCAAGGGTATCCAGTCTCTCTGTTCCTAGGCAATATAGTGCTTGAATTCATAGCTGTAGTGATAAGACAAGAGAATGAAATAAAAGGTATATAAATAGGAAAAGAGGAAGTCAAGGTGTGCTTATTTGCAGTTGATATGATTCGATACAGAAGAGCCCCTAAAGACTCCATCAAAATATCATTAGGTTATATTTTTATATTTTTTGCCAAAGTCTTAGGCCATTGCTATTTAACATACTTATTGATATTAGTGTTTAATTCTGCCCACTTATTTAAAAAATGTTTTCTTTCTGTTCTCCTTGATTTTTCTATTTTTCTTTTTCCTAACTTCCTGTGGATTACTTGAACAATTTTTGAATACCATTTGATTCATGTTTCTTTTTGTATGGCTTTCATGGTGGTTACTCTCATTGGTATTGGGGGGGAGGTGTGTGTGTGTGTGTGTGTGTGTGTGTGTGTGTGTGTGTGAGAGAGAGAGAGAGAGAGAGAGAGAATAGCCACAAACACTGTGTTTTATGTGTGTGTGTGTGTGTGTATAACTTAAAATGTCCAACTACTGTCAACATTTTACTATTTGTAATGAAGTAGAAAAACTCTGTTGCTACCCTTAACTTCACCATTTATAATGTAATTGTGCTAAATATTTCTTCCATACACATTTAGAATCATATGAGACAATATTATAATTGGTCATTTAACTGTCAAACGTAATTCAGGAACTTTAAGCAAAAAGGAAAATCTATTAAACTTAACTGTATTGTTTTTCCATTGTTCTTTCTTCCTTGCTGGTAACAAAACTACTTTTGTTTTCTGTTTGGAGACCTTCCTTTAACTGTTACATTACTAGAGGCTTGTTGTTGACAAAAATCTCCTTAGTTTCCCTTCCTCTGAGAATGTCACAATTCCTATTCTGTATGTAAACATTTTCACCAAGATTCTGTGTTGAAGTTTTTGAAAAGCATTGTGTCATTTCTTTATGGCTTCTATGGCTTCTAAGCAAATACTTGCTATCATTGAAATGAGAGGAAAAGTAAAGTGCCATTTTTCTGTCACTGCTTTTCAGACTTCGTCTTCATATTTCAGAAGTTTGATTATGAAAGGAACAAGAAATCTACCCTGTTCTTTCCATTCTCCTTTTGATCTTATCCACTGAGATTAGTTGAGTTACTGTATTGTTCGGTTCTAATATTTCTGTTTCCTGAGTTGGTCTCTGGTTTTTGTTTAAAGCATGGATGTAATTGTTGGTTGAAACATTTAAATGACTGCTATTTTTAAACTTCTTGTCAGGTAATTCCAACATCTACATCATCTTGGTGACACATTTCTTGATAATATGTTCCATTTAATTTAAGATCTTCATAGTCTTAGTGGGATGAATGCTTCTCTTGTAAACCAGGATTTATTTAATGTTATGTTATAAAATTGACTCCTTTAAACTTTCTGTTTTAATTGTTGTGGCAGGAAAGGGAGAAAAGCATCTTACTTATACCAGGTAGATATAGAAGTCCAATTTCCCTAGATGGCTTTTTGACATAAAGGACAGCGGGGCTCCTCATTATTGCTAGGCAAGTTTGAGACATATAGATCTCCACTAGTCATCTACACATACCACTCTAGTGCAGTGGAGGAAAGTACCTCATAATTGCAAAGTAGGAGGTAAAGGCTAGGCTCCCTGCTTGGTCTTTGTTGATGAACTGGGATGGGACTACAATGTCCTTTGTGGTATTTAGCTGGATTAGTGTCATTTTGTCTAAAGATATTTTTTGTCTAACTGGGCTATCTCTTCCTAGTCTTGTGGCAGAAAGTACAAACCTTTGTCGAAGCCTTTTTGTTTGTGCCCATTGGCATTTGGAGTTGCTGGTTTCTTTGGCTCCAAATCTGGAATATTTGAAGCAAAAGGAAAACATCCCAGAAAACTCATCACTGTGTTTCTCCTCAGATCTCAAGGTCCCTAGCCAGTTTATATTTTCTCTACCTTCCAGAATCTTCTAGTGTTTGTTTTATATATCATGACCAGAGAGTCTTATTTGTAGTCAGTGGGAAAATGGAGAAAAGTTCCTCTATCTTTCCAGAAGCAGAAGGTAAGACATTGATATTTTAGTGCCTGGTACTGTACAGACAAGAAAGTTCATGGCAAAGAACGCTTGCTCTTGTGTCTAAACACCTTAACAGAGTTCTTATTTCATGTGGAAGACAGAAAACTGCTTTCCCTGGGTACGTGTGCGCTCATCCAACATGGAAGGCATGTAGGAGTTCTTCACTCATTGTCCTGTGCAGCACGGTTTCCAAAACCCCTTTTGGTGTATTCCTTCCTTCTGGTGTCAAGATTTGAACTGTTGGTCAGCTCACAGCTTGGTGCTAATGTGGCCAGTTACTGGATGCTCTGAAGGCTGATTATAGTAGAGTTGCAGAAGCTCTAAATCATCACCTTTATTTAATGACCATATTTTTCATAGAAGGGATCTGTATCTCAGAAAATAGAAGAGCATCCCAGAGTTCTACTTCATATCACACAAAAGCAAAGGCGGACCTGGGACTCACTGAATGCTCAGTGCTTTTAGTCCTGTCAGGCTGCTCCTCCACCCTGTCCTCTGTTTTTCAGCACACCTTGCTCTGCCCCAGGAACAGAGACTGCCATTTTATCCCCAATCAACAGGCTCATGGAAGTACCCCTAACCTCTGGGGCAGGTGGGGGGAGTGCCTAATGAGGGCGGTGTGGTGGGGAGACAGCAAAATGAATGAGGTAGATCCCACGTGAACCTGTCCTTGGAATTGAAGCCTGTGATTCATGGGGTCAATGGTCTCATCTTCGTATCTGAAAGACAGTTTACTTTTTGTCTCCTTAAGCCCTGTGTCTAGGTCGTTTGCGAAACGCCTTGGAGAATCAAGAATAAAATTGCAGGTCAAACAATGGATGACTGGAAAAGTCGGCTTGTAATCGAGAGCATGCTTCCCCATTTCACCGTGGTGGGAAATCGTCAGGAGCCCAGAAAGCTCCAAGAATCGGTCAGAAAATGGGCTATGGGGGGAGAGGGGTGTTAAATGCTTCTAACCTTAAATTTGAACATGAGATGTGTTGTTGAAATTCTCTGTGTAAATGTGGTAGTGGAAACCAACCCCAAATATAAGGGACTTGAAGTTGGTGTAGAAATGATGAAGGAAATGAGCCATCCTGTCCCTATGGGTTTCTGGAAAAGACTAAGAAGCAGGGTACAGAAAGGGATTTCCATTCAACTCTCTGACCCTGGTATCTTTTCTCAAACTCTTCTGCTTTCTTCTCTAGGAATTCAGTCATCACCTAAGTGTCTGAAATTCAGTATTAGGGATTCCAGTGGTAGTTCCAAAGGCCAGGGTGATATGAGAGCCACTGGTTGCTTGAATCTGACAATGAATGCCTGCAACATCACCAGTATAGCAATATTAGCTCAGTTAGCAGGAGCTGCAGCAAACACAATAGCTGTTATCTCGGGGTATTAGGCCCACAGAGGAGTGGCCTGCTTAATCTCTGAAAGTAATAGAGCAGAGGGGAAATGGATCTGTTTCCTTCCTGCTCATGGAACTGGGAGCCCTGGGCTCTGAGGTAATGTCATTTCAATAACTAGAAGACTTATGTTCCCCAGTTCCCAGGGCAATTCACTTTGTTTATTTTAGGATTTTGTTATGAGTACAGGTGTGGGGCAGTGATTGACTCACGTTTCTCTTTTCCCTTCATTGTCAACAATGTATTGAGAATGTGCTATTAAACTGAGTGCATAGACTTAAAAAAAAAAAAAACTTTGGTGACTAGAGCCCCAGCATTCACAGAAATGGGAAGTCAGATGAGATGGTAAAGATAGAGCAATTGCTTGGCCAGTGTGACCTGTTCTCCAAACTGCCAGGCCCCACTGTAACCTCCATCCTAACCACTCTTTTTATTTCATGTTTCTGTTTGATGGTCAGCAACTGAGTCGGGAAAGGAAAGGTATGTCCCCAGAGTCCATCGTCAGTTTCAGCATGACTTTAATTTTTTTTTCCACTTCTGCCTACTGACTGGGGCCAAATCCTAGACATAAATATGGGTCGGTACAAGAGTCTTCCTCCCCTCTTGTACAGACACTCTCATAAAAATAAAGTATGTCAGGTAAGTAAAGCTTTACTTTCTGTCTATGTAGATCACAATGCATGCCTTCTAGGGATCATTGTCCTTGGGACAGGTCCTTGGAGTAGCTCCCAGTGTGGAGTAGATGTCATTGCTCAGGCCATTTTCTCAGGCTTGGCCTCTCATGGCAAATGGCCTCTAGCACCCTTCATATGCCTTGCAAAAAATGCGTATTCGTTGCTTTAGTGCCATACCTTGCACTCAATCAGAATCTGCTCTTCTTTGTCTTCCTTGGTACACACTGTTCTGCCCTTGGCTCTGAGTGACCTGGCTATTTTTGAAATGCCAAGCTGTCCTAGAAGACCAAGGATTTGCCCCAGTTGAAGGGGTCCAAAAATATACCTCAGGTTCTGGAAGTAGCTCTCTCAGGTGAGCCTTCTTCACAGTTGAAGCTGCATCTGTCTTCTTGGAAGATACATATGGTCCCCAAAAGGGATGACATTGAGAGAGCCCTGTCCTCTGTTTCTGACGTGCACTGCTGCTCCCACCTGGCCAGGGCAGCTTTTAGTGTGGTATGAGAGTTTTAGTAGCTGCTTCATCCCTGTAGTTTCATGAAGGTGCCTAGTGTCAGCCTCCAACTTTGCTAAAGATGCTGAGGATCCAAGCAGCAGGACACTAGTGTACTGTGCGATTAATAGCCAGGGTGTTCAACAAAAATCTGCTGCTCAAACAAGTTGTTGCATGGCCTGCAATGTAGGTGACAGGAGGTCCCTAGCAGTAACTGACCTTGTACTTCCAAGGCATGGTCTTAGCTGGATCTCAGATGTTTCCATTGTTGGCTGTGCTTCTGAGGCTTCATAATATCCAGGGCTGATAGTGGACCCTTGTCCCAGGAAATTAGGTGAGTCTGAAAGCCTCTTCAGTGTAGAAATCTGTTTTGAGAAGTCACCTTAACTAGTTTCTTATTTGTTTCATTCCTTCCAGAAAAATGAAGCTAACAGAAAAAAAAAAAAACTATATCACATCAAAGTTTTGAAATACAAGACTATCAACGCTAGAGGAAGGATTTATTTATTTACTTGTTTGTTTATTTATGTATTGTCAGGATCTCACTCTGCAGCCAAGGCTGGCCTGAATCTTGTGATCCGCCTGTCTCAATCTCCTGAGTGCTGGGATTACAGGCATGTGCCAGTAGAAGACAGCTTTTTAAAATTGCTCTGAAATTTACATGTAAATAATTGAGAGCTTCCTTGGAGAAAAATGTGAATTTGATGTGACAGCTAGTCTTAGCCTGAGACCCTAGGCTCTGGACCCTAAGTTACTAGTCTTGCCTAAATATCTACAAGTTTCATCCACTGCCCTCTAGAAAACAAAACCCAAATGAACCAAGGGCAAGAACAACCACCTTGATAGAGCATTGACTAGGTGTTAGCACTTTGCTAACCATGTAGGGAACACTGTCTCCTATAACCCTCTTAATAACCCAGGAAGCTGTTATTCTCTCTAGGAAACTGAGGCTCAGAGAGCTGATGCAGCAGTCATAGACCTAAGAACAGTCAGACCCAGTGTCCTGTCCTCACCACCATTCTCTGATGCCCCTTAGACCTAAAGCTTGTTTTGAAACACAAAATGGTGAGTACACATTAGGCAAGGGCAAATTGTATGAAACCTTAGTGATTCAAGTTCCTTTGCCTCATTATTTGTTCATTCAGTTCCATGATCATATAATGACTGTTGTGACATGATGCAAAAGGTTTTTCCTTTTGGCAACATTTGGACATCTACCAAAGGTTAGTTTATGGAATCAGAAAGTGGAACATTTTGTTCTTTCCTTTGAAGTAAAGATTGAACTCCTACAGATTCAGTAGGTTGATTGAGAAGCTCAAAGGCATTGGCCCTGAAACTGAGAGTGTGCCAGAGCCTGCATGGCACGATGGTGGTGGCTCATGTCATGTGTCATCTCTGCTTTGGTCTACATCTCACAGCATGCTGCAAAGTTTCCTTTGGCTCTGAGCAGACACCTATTCAAGTCCTACAGCAATCTCTGGTCAAAATGGGAGACTTGGCCTGGGGATATAGCTCACTGGGTGCAGCGCTTACTTAATACGCTCAAGGCTCCCCAGTTTCAGTCTCCATTACTACAAAATTAAATAGTATAAACTCTCCTAAGTTAATAACATGTGAGAGTTAAGGTCATTAAATGCAGAAGTTGAAGAAGAAAAGGGCACTATACCCTTAGTTCATTAGCTGGGTTCAATACCTCAATGTTACTAACTAACTCTATAGGTTATACTGCGTTGGCATGTCCAGCACACCTTATAAGCTTGCCAACCACTCTCTGGCTCAAAGAGAGGGAATAATATTCTTATCACTTTCATTATGGACAAAATAATAAGATATGAAGAACCCAGTACCCTGCAGAGAAAGGCTAGTGAGAGGTTGGGAAGCTACATGTACAGCTCCCATTTGAACGTCCCAAGGATAGCATGCTTTCCCCCTACAGAATGACTCAAAGCATGCCCTAGTCTGTCTCCTCAACTCTCATTGAAAGTGGGACTGAAGTCTGGAAGGACAGGTGCCCCCAGTAATAGAGTGAGTATATAAAGATTCGAATGGCACAAAAATCACTGGCCCGGTTTCATCTGATGTTCTTTATTTAAAAAGTGCCCAGTGGCAGGCACTCTTTCCACCTCCTCTGAGGTATGTGATCCAGTTCAAGATCTGTGCCCATCAACCTTGGAAGCCTGTGCTTTTCCTTGCAGAAAGAGTTCTAAACTTAGGAAGGAGATCTCAGACTTGATCTCAGAGCCATGACTAGTGATATGACCTGAAACAAGTCCCTTTCTCTTGAAGTCATAGAGTGTGTGTATGACTTACAAGGACATGTCTATGTCTGGCCTCCTCCCACAATTCCAGGGCTCCTTCTATGTTCCCAGCCCTTGGCTAGACTCTGGGATCCAGGACGTCAATCTCACTTCACTTACAACAAGTCTATCCTACTCTAAAGTTCAAGATCAGGAGGAGAAAATGGTTGAGTGGCTCTCTTGTATAAGGTCCTGTGTACACATTACCTCATCTGCTCCTGTGACTCAGAGGCTGGTATTTCCTCTTCATCCAAGAAGAGACTAAGACTCAAGGAAGATATGGACTTTGCCAATGTCAGTCAAGGGCTAATCAATTTAGATCACATAGCCCAGTGCTCTGCCTCCAAAGCTATGCCTTCCTTGCTGACTCTACTTCCTGGGTTAGAAGCTCAGATATCCGTAAGATCTTCTGTCTACCACATTTAGACATGGGTTCTCACACTGGAGTCCCAGATGCCCTGGTGCTTTCACCCCAGTGGCATAAATAGGTACAGAGTGATTCCCTTTAGCCTTCTAACCAACATAAACTACTACTATCTAGCCTGACAGAAAACCAGGCTACTTTGGAGTCCCATGGGGAGGCAAGGAGTTAGGAACTAAAGTGACTCTGAAGTCCCAAGGTTCACCAGTTGGTATTTTTGCCAATATTCTCTACTTCATGCAGGCTGTGGGCATGTTACGGGTACAAGTCTGGCCCCAAGAGAGGGGAGCCCACATGTATGGGCCGTACCACTGAGACCCAAGTGGTACCTGAGCGTAGCCCCCACTACTTATTCAGTTCTTAACCTGAGCATACGGGTCTCAGTTTCCACATCACTGAAGTGGAGTTAATAAGCACTCTCTGCTTCTGTCAGAGACTCTGGGGTTATGATGAGTAAGGCAAAGATGTGGACTTGTTCTAAAGTAAACAGGGTATGACTGGTGTTGACAGCTTTTTAGTGACCAGAGATTGCCATTGTCTCAAAACTATTTTCCCTATCAGAAAGGCAAGGGGGCATTGTGTCCTTGGAGCTCAAGTTGGAGTACTTTGGATCCCTAAGGATGCTGCAGTTGCATCGGCAGCC